TAGGCAGTTAGTGTCAAAAATGGTTTGCGTGTACTCGGAGTTGATGGATATCGTTTTAATTTATGGTGAAGCGTTTGTGTTATGGTGAAACAAGACATCATTTGTGTTAGTTCGTAGAAAGTGAGTAAGACGTACCCAAATGTGTTTACACGTGAGTGGACAAAATTTTGAACAATTGCTGTTGCTGCATCGGGTATGTCAAATGATTTTATTATTTAAAAACACAAATTAATTTTATTAATAATTAATAAAGGCAAAAGCATTTGAATTTGCCGATATAAAATAGGTGCGATAAAATTCTATTTACATATTTCTTTCCTTGCGAAAGTTTTTGTCCGTTTTTATCACGCCGCCATACCGGTCGCATTGTGCGAGGTCAGGTTTTCCAGTGGACCAGTTTCCAGTGCCGTGCAGAAGTGTCTTTTTAAATCAATTTCGAACTGATCTTTTTGATTTTTTCTTTACAAAATTGTATTTGTAAGGGTCCCCTGTACATCCAGATTTTTTTTTTGGATAAGTTCTGAATCACCCTGTATTTCCAATAGTACTTAAGGATATATTGGACTATGCCACACTTTTTTGGCCATGTTTCTATTACTTTGAGAGGAAGACCAAACTTTATATCACTGTGATCGTAAAAGAAGTTTTATCCAAATATGCATATAAATACATTGGGCCACCCCCAATATATAAAAAACGCATTGCAAGATAATATTTTAAGGCAATGTGATATTCAATTGTTTCTGCAAAAGGTGTAATAAAAAAGTTTCTTACTTTTTTCTTTCATGTTTATCTCGAGTAAGAAAGTAGAAAGTAGGGAGTGATATTTATGATGAAAATTGGTGGTAAAATGTGGATTTGATTTGTCACTTAAGATTTTGATCATAACCCCGAATTGTAAGAACTTAAGATAGTACATTGCAAAGATTCTGACTTAATCTGTCTATAATAAATAAGCTAAATAATCGCCATTCAAAAAACAGTAACTAAATAATTATACCACAATTATTTTAAACCACGACTATTTAACGACAAAGTTTCGTTTGTGGCTTACGTTGTATGTCGAGACCAAAATTTAAACAGAAATAAATCACGAAAAACTATGCGCCACATTTAAAGTACTTCGCTGCGTTGCACGTTTCCCCACACCACCAGCCAAATAGCTTCGTTTCACATAAACTACCCACACCGCGTCACAAACGACAAATAAAAAACCGGCTTCAAACTAAATATTGTTTTAAATACACGCGTTTTGCCGCCTAGCTCAACTGAATAGAGCCTGGCAAAGAGGAAACTCGTGTTTACGTTAAACATATTTTAATTAAATGCTTTTGAGAGCACTGATGTTTTAGATATAATACAATTTTTTTCATCGTTACCGTTTCAATGTATGGTTCATTACATAATGCTACCTCAACCAAGACATTTATTTAAGGTGTCAAAGGGATGAATATACACGGTGAGTGATAATAATTAGGTGTAAAAAATTTAATCGCTTCTCGACAAAATAAAATAATTGGTCAAGGAAACCTCTGTTCCAAAATGCCTCCTTACAAAGATGCAGGGTGTTAAAGTTAATAAAAAAAATAGTATTTTTTTAATATTACGAGAACGGATTGTTTTGACATTTGATGTAGTAAATGTTACTGTCAATTGCTACTCTCCTGTGGGGAACCACCAAGTCAGTGACGTGAAATCACCACTACGGTGAACCTTTAAAAAAACTTGCGCCACTGACTAATATTGGCAATAATCTATTTTTTAGATTTAGCTTTCATTTTTGTACAAAGAAAAACATTTTTAGTATTTACACTACTTTATTACCTACATTTTCTTTGCCATTGAATAAATGTTGTTCATTTTCCCTCAAATCAATTCTGAAAAATTGTCATCACTAGTTCTTTCCACTCTCTGCTGTTGAACGAGATATTTTCTCCTTGGACATTATGTTATCTTCTACATATCCTTCTACAGTACCACTCTTCCATTTTCCATGTCTTTTTAATGTGCACCTGCATCTACGAGAAGAGTTGCCGATGTACGACGCAAACAATGACCTGTGTATATTTTAGCATCTGGGTAGTGGAGATATTGCCGAAGATATTTTTGCCTACTGGTTGCGGAATACATCGACCATTCCGATATGTCAGAAAAAAACGCCGTTCTTTAGTTTATTTTGATCGATAAGATATATGCTCTTGATACAATTGGAGAGCGTGCATTTCATTTTCTTCCACAATACTAAAAGATTTTGGTACTCCAGTTTTTGTATCGTTAATTTTTACTACAACAATGATTCCTTTGCCATCTATACCATCTATCGAGAGCTTTACCAACTCATCTCTTCTTAATCCTCCAAAAACATCCATTACTAGAACAACCTACAATAACAAATACCTATTAAGCACATGAAATAATATAGCCAATTATTTCCCATATTACCTTTTCCAAAAGATATGTATGACTTGATGCTTCTCTAACAAACTTCAAAATATCCTCTCTTGTCAGTCTCTTAGATTTTGTTGGAATATATCCTTTCGATATTTGCTTCAAATAAGCCTCTAATCGATAATATTCTCCTATATTTACTTTTCTGCGCGCTAATAATGTGGTCTTCAACATTAAATACTTTGTCCATAATGTGGTAGGACTGAATGTTTCTGACTAAAAGGTATATAAAAAATATAAATTATCAAAAATTATAAACATTTCTTTAAAGTGATAAAAGGCAATACATACCAGTTCTTGGAAATATCCCATTAATATAGTTTCACTAACAGCTGTCACTGAATTTCTGCTTGTCGAAGTCTCAAAACGTTTATATTCTGTATCATAAAGTAATTTAGATTTCTTAGGCAGAAATTCTTCATTGACTTTATTGACTCTAGCAGCAACTATTGCTGGAATTTTATCCATTCTGGCTTTTGAATCTCCTCAGAATCAAACATCAAACTACTAAAATAAATAAATTTGCGTGTGTCATAGATACATCTTGGATACTTCGTTTGTATATTGAAAAACTGTTTTCATTTTCGTTTACATATTTAAAATAAATACAAAATCAGATGTCTAAGTAACAATTAAAACGTTGTATGCACCACGGGAGATACTAGGATAATTATGCCCTTAGGCGACTTGTTTTCCTTGCAACCTGTCGCCTGCGGGAATAATCATTATAGTCTGTTTAGAAATGAAAAAGCTTATTATGTATGCAAATCGTAAATAAATGTAGTATTGGTGCTTATATTCAATATTTTTATATTATGTATTATCGGTATAGGATGAGGTGTACTTTTAAAAAAACTTTTTGTGATCGGACTGTACTAAATTGTAGCAGGTAGCTAAAATTTAATCCCCGACAATCCGTCTTTGTCTATGCCGCTTCAATTTCTCGGTCCATTTCTCTTATAAGTAAACAATATAAAAACAGCATTTCAAAACATGAGGCTACTTTAAGCATCATAACCGGGTTAAGAGGGTTTTTAGTAATTCAAATAAAATTATTCAATATTATTATCAAAATATTTATTTAAATTTAATGAATAGACTTTTATTCCACACAAAAATATATGTATTTTGAAAATTCAAATTATGGTGAGTAAATGTAGTGTTGTATAAATGTACAATAAAGAAAATAAAAAAGTAGGTATATTAAAATTCATCCTCTGAATATTCTGATGAATTATCTTCGTCTCCTAGATTGATAACGATAGGTTCCACAGTAACGTCAATTAAATTATCGAGTTCCCACATTTTCTCCTCTTCTTTTTGTACATGATGTATACATCTTTGCCAGTTATCTGCAGTTACTCGTTCCAAGGAATTTTTTAACAAAATTTTCACGTCACTTAATTTAAACGTCGTATTATTTCGCGCTACATCTCCTTTTACCTGCGCCCAGACTAATTCGATTGGGTTAAGTTCACAGTGATAAGGTGGTAACCGTAGTACCGTTATTTGGCGATTTGTTGCCATTTCATCGATAACATATTTTTTCTGATCTTTATTAAGATTGACAAGTGTCAAAAGTTCCTTTTTCACCATATTTGTTTCAAAAGAAATGTTTTTTCCGGATAACCATTGAATTATATCGGCTTTCCTCCAAGCAGTCGTAGGCGTCCGCTCGGTCTGCCGTGAATGGTAACTGGCATTATCCATGACAATTACAGACCCCGGAGGAATAAGATCCAACATCTGTGTAAAATACTCTTCGAAAACATCTGCGTTCATGTCTTCGTGATAGTCACCTGTATTTTTAGATTCAAATAAAAGTAAACCGCCATCTACAAAACCACTGGCACTACCTATATGTGTCACTATTAATCTTCGCCCTTTACCTGAAGGTGCCTTGAACCCTGTTGAAAGTCCATCCAAAAATGCTTGTCGAAAACTTTTTACATTTTTATCTTGCCATACTTTTGTTACAGTATATCCCTCGTTGACCCAAGTTTCGTCTAGATAATAAATATTCCTCCCTTCGTCACGGAATTTTCTAATTGATCTTAAGTAGGATCTTCGCCAACAAATAATTTCATCTTTATCGATAAGAACTGACTTCCTGTTCTGCTTTTCCCAGCAAAAATTCAACTCTCGTAAGACGGCCCATAATTTGCTTCTACTGATTTTTGGCAAATCGTTGTCCTCTGAAAGTTCACTTAAAATTTTGTTTAGCGTTGGTATTTCTTTTTTAAAATAAAATCAGTGTACTTTTCTGCGAATGATATTTTTGAATAAATCATATATAACGACTTTTAACCTCCCTGTAGATGATTTTGGGGGATCTACAGTATCTTGTTCATTTTTTGTTTCTTTTAAAAGTCTGTAGATAGTCGATTTTCCAATCTCTGTCTTTTTTGTTAGCATTAGTGGTACCCGATAATTACCTGAAACGAAATATTACCACGCCCTTGGCCGGTTCTTATCTCGGGGTTTTATTACTCTCATTTCCAAACAGACTTATAGATGACAGTTGTAGATAGAATTATTTTTATACGTTTCAGAAAATGGACAAGAACAGGGACGGCGTCGTCACGCTGGACGAGTTTTTGGAGTGCTGCCGGAAAGACGAGGGCATCTCCACCTCCATGGCGGTGTTCGACTCGTCGATATGACGTTCGCCCGTCGGCGTTCGGGCACCTCCTCCAACGTGGGCATGAGGCGAATGTCGGCGACTTGTGTCTTCGAATCAACTACGACCAACTTTATTAACTATAGGAAGCAAGATTTGAACGACGCGGTGATACCAGTGGCGGCGGTGTAAAATATCATAAACAGGGCCGGACTGTCTATATTTATACAATTTTTAATTTACTTAAATTATAGATTTTCATGAGCTACGTCAGAGTTACAAGTTTTTTTAATATTTTGACAGTGAAAATTTGAGATAAGCATAATTTAAATTCTGAAGTTATATCCTGGAATTTACCAAACAAATATCTGACGGACACTGGCGCTGACCCTCTGACCATGAACTGAAATACATTTTTTCACACTACGCAAATCGCATTAAATATTACTTTTGATATTAGTCGAAATATTACAAAATACCAAGTCTTAAGTAGGTAAATGTTGTGTCACTGACTGTATGCATTGATATTTTAATACATTTTAATGTACCCATATTTTTAAACGTGTTGGATTTCACCGTCGCTATTCTGTAAACATGTATTTACTAATTGTTTATACCAGGAAATATACGTGTAGATATAAAGATATATTTTAAATAAACGCATAATATTAAATAACATGAGGAATGCTCTGTTTCCGTTGGAAAGTATACTCGTAAGTATGTGTTAACCTCATCCTTATTTTTAAAGGGACGTATAGTCACTTCATATAAATCAATCAACAAAATTTAATCAAACTTAAAGATAATTTTATATTATTGCATGTAATAGAAACGTTGTAAATTTTCTAGTTTCAATGCATTGACAACAAACTAGAGCCAATAGAATTAGTTTTAATTTATTGTGCAATTTCGTAAATTTTTAGAAACATTCAATTCAGCAGTACCAAAGTCAATAATATAAAAAAAAAATTGGTTACCTTCTAATACCATTTGTAATATGTTTTATTTCTACATTTTCTATAAGCATTTAACCCCTTAAGTAATGGTGAAAAAATCAGGTGGATAGTTTTATTATTACCTGTGACAAATATTGGGATGTTGAATAAGGTCTCGCTGTTTTTTTTTTCGTGAAGATTAATGCTTTATTTAAAAATATTAGTAAAAAACATGTCACTCAAGGTATTGTCTATGGCAAGCCACTACTTTGTCGTATCTTTCTGACAGCATATTGATTCGATGTTGGAAATACGACACGTATTTTGGGGCTGTCCTAGAGTTGATCCATATTTTGGCATCTTCATAAGAATGGAAAAGTTGATCAGCCAAGCCATGTACCATCGATCGGAACAAGTGATAATCGGAAGTGGAATCCCATTTAAGCGTTTTCCAAGTAGGTTTTTACTGGCAGGTACTGCAATATCTTTGCGAGCATTGTCATGCTTCAATACTCGACCAAAATGCATCAATTGTAGTCGATGCCGATCTCCCGTGAATATTTCATTCGGTTTGAGCAGCTCATAATAAATTACACTCAGCTGATTCCACCAAATGCAGAGGAGAAGCTTGGAACGATGAATATTTAACTTTGCTGACGATGTTGACTCATGACCGGGCTTGCTCATCGATTTTTTACGTTAACGTAGCATAGCGTATCCATTTTTCATCTCCAGCTACAATACGATGCAAAAACCTTTCCTTTTCTGCCATTGAAGCAGGGTTTGACACGTGGAAAGACACCGTTTGACGTCTCTCGGCCTGAACTCATTCGGCACCCAATGTTCTTGCCTTTGAATCATTCTTAATGCTTTGAAACGTTTTGAAACTGTTATGTAGTCAATTCCTAGTGATTCTGCAAGTTCACTAGCGTCTGACATGAGTTTTCATGAAATACCTAATCAGTTCTGAAGATTCTAAACCAATCTCTGCATGTTGTGTGCCCCAGAGAGCATGGTCGCCGTGTCTCAACAAGAATTATGTGTGCTTCAGCTGTAGATTTCTTTTGAATAGAGTGGTGCAATAAAATTCCCAGCATTCTTTTTTTGGCACGAAATTCGACATGTTTAACACCTAAAAAAAAAGTAGTTTACTCTTCGGCGAAATAATATACACTGATGTTCAAGCTTGCTTATGGTAGGTACTACTTTCTAGGCGCTACCACGTTAAACGACCTGCTTGCAGTTCTGATGACGCCATCTGTTGGAAAACAACGAGAATTTATTGCAGACCATATGTGACGTCACACCGTTCGACTGGCTCGGGCTACGACTCAATGCACTATGAGCTATTGTCTCTAGCTATTTATTTGTAGTATAGTTTTACTTTTTCCATGTATTGGTTACAAAATAATATAATTAACCTTTATGCCAAAAGGATCAGATTTAGGTTTAAAAATATACACCTTTCACTTAGTGGAATTATGGAAGCTGTGGACTTAATAAAATCTGAACCGTAAGAATAAATTGGCAAGTAATAAGTAAGTATATATTTAATAATTTTATGCTACAGTCAGCTATAAAAGTCAGCACAACTATTTCATTAAACCTTATAATAATTGAAAAATAGGTATAGTTCATTCACGTTTGTTTGTTCAACCAAAATGTATTTACTCATTCATTAATTTCATTTCAAACTGACCAAGTCATTTTAAATTTAAGGTTGAGGTTGACCTATATCTGCTGTTCTTAAAGTATTGTTTACGATATTATAAGAAGCATTAATTTTATAATGCCACTTAAACTATGAAATTTGAGAGATAAAAAGGAATTTATAGTATTGTGAGTGTATTGTGAATTATTTATTATTTACGTGACTTTCTAACTAAAATTGAAAAATATTTCTCCCTGTGTGTTAAAGAACAACATGGAAACAGCGTTTCCCAACTTTTTTTTGCAAAATGTAACCATATCTCTATATAATTAATTAATTAAGAAATAGCTTTATTATTCATTAATTAATTATGATGAATTATCAAGATATATCAAATATTTCTTTGATTTTTGCAACTTGACAGTTTTGATTGTAAGCAAAACTCGCAATCCATTGCTCAGAACGTCCTAACTGCTGCAACCACTCACGATCCTTCTAGGTACTAAATAATTAAAATATTTATACTGTAGTTATATATACAACTCTTATGTACATCAAACTATACCTATACTCGTAGAATAGAAGAGAATAAAGAAACCTTTATTTGTCAACATATCTGCAAGTCGTTTTAGACAGTTGTTGATGCGTAAGACTGTATCATATCTTCCGCATGCTTTGAACAATGAGAAAGATGCCAGGGGAATAGATTTGTGCCCAAATATCCACTATACATAAATATACCTAAGCTTTCACAAGCCCAATTTGTCTCGAATTTGCTTTTAAACACTATATAAGTAGTATAAAACATTAACTTTTTGAACAGTATTTTTTTATGTTTGTTCTCAACTAATATAAAAAATAAATGAAGAAAACTTCTTTGTCCAGAATAATTTTTCTTATACTTCTACGGCGTATTGAACTAATACTGATATTTATGAAGGATTTTTGTTTCATCTTGGTTTGTTATAATATTTAGTTTAATATTATTGTTTTTCATATTATTTTCTTAGGGCTAGTAGTTTTCGAGTAAGAGAAGCCTAGATGTAAAGCACAGTGAATAACTGTTCCGTAAAATGCTTGCTTTATTATAATGAATTGAAAAATTTAAAATTTCCTTCTAAATATTTAGAACCCTGTCCATATTTTTGTAAAGCTAACTTAGTATACGTATAAGTACGGAGACTTCATAAATGATTACAAGTCGCGTGACCAGTATTTTTGTTTTAAACAGTGATTTTATTTCCTTCATGTAGGCAATTTAAATTATCAAATCAATAAGAGTAAGATTACATTATAATATATCTCTACTCCTCATTCTAACTACGAGAATTAGCCCATAAGTCGGAGACTTGTACGGGAGAGGAGGCGGCATATTATTATTAGGCAGGCCGCATTTGCGTCCAGGAACGACTTATGTTGGTAGGCCCTAACCACCATTCAGTGCAGGAATGAGGGAAACCTGGAAAACCTCATTAATTAGGGGGGTGATCAAATTCCAACCGGTGTCAATCTCTCACTGCATTGACCCAAGCCAACATTCTTCCACCCTACCATACCTGCACAGACGGTGCCAATCCTCCGTAAAAGCATAGCTAATCTACGATCTACCGGCCGCAGGAATCGAACCCGGGCAGAAATTTGCACACGATTTAAGTACTCGACCGATAAAAACACATTAAAAACACTACATTCTGTTTCACCGACTCGATAGTATTATCTCAAGCGTAGATGTAACGGTTTGCCATTGTTCATTGTAAACGTATCATTAATACTGCTGACTCCAAGATTTAGGGATTTTTTGTTACCAGTACTAGTCCTGCAATGTTGGTTGCCTAAGCTCAGCGGTCACGTGACTTGTAAATATTTATGAAGGTTCGGTATTTAGTTTGTTTAATTTTATGTGTAGTGGGCACATGTATAGGAGATGTTTTTGAGACATAGGAAAATATCAAGTATTCTACGATGTATCTTAGATAACCTAAAATTATTCGGCTATAACAAAATAATAGGAATTTTGGTATCACATTTACAAGTAGCTTTTTATATCTAGAATAAAGATTTACTACAGACAGACAAGCAGACATAAACTATAATATGTATGGTGCTATGTATTTTAAAGATAAAGAACTTTTAATGGTGTTGCCTGTGTGGGTTCTATATTTTTAAATTTTGCTAAAAAATAATACAGAATAATTTAACTGTTCGAGCTTCTCCGACCACTTGCTACACTTAGCCCCACGTAAGCAACATACTTGTACTGATCTAGAATTTATGTTGTTATAAGAAATATAAATTTAGTACCTACTCCAAATTAATGTTTAAATGTTACCTATATGTTATCAATGTTAGAAAAATGTTTCCTATTTTCATTTTTTAATTGTTAAATATACACTTTACAAATATTTATGATGTCTTATAGATTCCAATCAAAATTGAGCGGGAAATTAACACACTGTTATAAAAGGTTGCTCAATAGCATAAATGTTTCTTATTATTGGATTAAATTTCCTGTTGTTTGCCTACTTTTGAACGTTTTCTGGGAAAAAAATTAGATACTACATAAAGAAAAATATAACTAAAGACATATACTACTTATCTAAATAACAACTTTGATAATTGACACTAGTCGTTGAAAATATATAGAATATGTAATGAAATTTGTATATAAAAGTGAAGTTTTTAGTTAAATGTGTTATTCAGTAAAGAATATACAGTTTTAAAATAACATGGATATTTTATTTGTAAGAAACCATGTATTGATAAACAATGCATGCAGCAGATCATAAATTATCGGGTGATTCCACTTATTAATTACAGCTAAGCAACAATAACTAGGTATAGTAATATCCTTGATTAATTTTTAATTCAAAAAAATTTATTTTGACTTCATATTCATATTTTTTTTACCTTATTTTTAAACTTTACTATGAATAGAAGAGCTTATAAAACCAGTAACTATGACGCGCTTGCAAAAAGTCGTTGGTAGTAGTTTAGTTTTATATGTTTTAAATAAATTCACGAAGTTTGGAACAACATAAATCCAAACTTTCGTATGCATAAATTGATTAATTAATTCATGTAGAACTTCGTTTATGAATTAATTTTCAATGTCAAACTTTTATTGCACTTGTACATAGTTGTAATTTGGTGTAAAAAGTGTGGTGTAGGTCAAAGGAAAGAGAGACACCTCTTGCCACATAAGCATGTTTTATAATTTGTCTTGATATATTTGACAGTTCCATAATCGATAACATAACCTCATTATAACGAAACAATATTTAGTTTCAGTAATGGATAAGAAAGAGAATAAGTGCTGCACAGAAGAAAGTATGGCCCAAAAACTAAAAATATTAGCTATACACGGGTACAGACAAAATGCTGAAACATTCCGAGCGAAGACTGGATCTTTTCGTAAGATGGTTCACAAATGGGCACAATTTACTTATATTACGGCACCCCATAAAGTAATTCTTGTGGACGACGAAAATGACTTGAATAAAGATGAACCAGACATAGGACAAAGTTTAGATGACGGTATACTTTACTTATATTTCTAATTTAATACTAGTTGTTTAACTTGAAAAACTAGTAGTAAGTAATATTTTCATGGTTCTTGTGGTTTAAGCCGGCCGCACATTGAGATGCAGGCGACACAGGCGATGCAGGGCAGGGCAGGTTACACAGTTCAGGAAAAAAACGTGTCATGCAGTGTGAGCGCTACTTGAAACACAGTCTTGGCAGTTCCTGCTTATATGCGAATGCGATAACAATATATTTGGGCATTAAAAGGTTCTGTTTTTAAATTTTCACCATGGCGTTGTTTCTGGACAGTTCCGAGTCAGATTATAATGCAGAATTTGAAGAAACTGTTTTATTATATAACATTTCAAAGAGGAAAAAGTCATTTTGGAAAAGCAACTATATGAAAAGGAGAAATACTCATGGGGAATTTGCACTATCATCTGAATTTTCTGAGCCTATTTTTTCAAACACCAAAAACTACTTAAGCATGTGGCGCATGAAACTGTGTCCGGAAGACTGCGCTATGCAGGTTTACTTAAACGCAGTTCTGTGCTACCCTACTTTGCGTTCCAATTCGCGCGGGCCTATTAAGTTGTACTGAGTACAGAAACCTGCACTACCCTGCCCTACGTTGCCTGCCTCACCTGCATCTCAATGTGCGGCCGGCTTTAGAATTGTAACTTTTTAGAACAGTATGGTTGGTTCTTTAATAGAGATGATAGAACTTTTCGAGGCATTCGAAAGGGTGGACCTGCAATAGGATTTGAAGAAAGTGTGAGGTTAGTCGAGGATATATTTGAAAAAGAAGGACCTTTTGATGGTATCTTAAGCTTCTCGCAAGGCGCTTGTTTCGTAGGGATCCTCTGTATTCTTCAGCAACGAGGCTGTAGGTGATTAAACGAATTGAAAAAAAATATTTTAATCCAACTCTGATTGTTGTAGTAATCAAATTTAGGTTCAGTTTTGCTGTATTGTCATCTGGATTTAAGTCTGGCAGTTTACCACATTTAAAATACTACAGTGACAGGATAAATTTGCCATCTTTGCATATATTTGGAGAAAATGATAAGATAATTCCAACTGGTAGGTACAAATTTACTAGATTTTTTTTTAATTAAAAAAATTGGTTAGATAATTCCATTGCGTTTCCATTTCGCATGGTAACAATTTAGCTTTTATGAAAACATAATGCAATCTTTAGATGAGTCCATAACAGGATTTAGATTTTCATGACAGACGTCGTGTCAAGTAATGTATCATTCACGAATGATTTGTTCGAAAAGAATGAGCCATTTCTTCTCGATTCTGACTAATTTATGAACAATAGCTACTAAAAGATTCAGTCTTCTTCAGATCAAAAGTGAGAGTTGAGCATGAGAGTATACCGAATCAAACTGACTTTTCAAGTTTTCGAAGAGCCAGTTCTCGTACTTGTGCTGATAAAGCCACTTGTGTTTATTTCAAAATAACATAGTGGGACGTTAATTATAATTTTTTTGTATATAACTGTTTTATGATACAGTAAGTGTGCATGCATTTTTTTCATCGATACATCAGGTACCACAGAAGACTTAACTGGATCATTAAATGGTTAAATTAACCTTATCATGTGTTCTATTTTAGAAAAAAATATAAATTTGAGTTATAACGAAAAAATCCAAAGATTGTATAGACGACTTAAACGTTTTCTGTGACAAAGAGCCCGTGTATTTTAGTATTTGCCTTGGTTGTTTTAGAAATGAGTGAGGCGCTAAGTAATTGTTTCGAGGAACCAGTCATAGTAAGGCATCCAGGAGGTCACTACCTTCCCGCTGGTGCACCACAGAAGCATGAGTATCAGAAATTTTTCAAACTGCAGCTCCTACAGAAACAATATGGGGAACAGTTTGTAGAGAAAATGGAAAATGTATGAAGTAATACTCCATCTTGTATATATTTCTACAACTTGTTAGGAAGAATTTTATTTATTATCATAAGATGTGAAATAAATGTTTTTATTAATTTTTGTTATTAAATTCCAGTTTCTCTTAAATATACTACATTAGTTTTTACTTTTCAGCTGTAACCTAGAGCAGATTAATTATTTAACTATTTCTACAGGGTGTTTTATGATGTTCATACTGTAACAGCAAGTGAGATAAGGAAAAAAATAAAAATTTGTTTTTATGGCCGAAATGGAAAAATTCCATTACCTAGGCCACTTTGTAGTTCCTGTTTCTTTAATTTTATACAGCATTTTGAAAGTACATGCATATTTTTTGTGGCACTTTTTTAATCAACTTTTTAGTATTATTATAATTCGAACATGGCGGCCGCACAAGGCTGTTCTTCTGGTATCGCTAGTTGCAAACGGTGTAAATCAAATGTAATAAATGGCATAAAGTGCAAAAGTTGTGACAACAGCTATCACTTAAGCTGTGCAAAACTAAGTAATAATGTAAAATTTGTTACAAACAGTGAGATAATTTGTTGTGAAACCGCTGGCATAAGCGGAAGTGACACGGGCTTCTTTGATGCCTTAGAGGAGCTCTCCAACTCTGCGAAGAAGGTAGATGTTCATATTTTTAGTTATGTTATAAAACAGAAGGATATAATTATCCAGGATTTGCGGGAGAAGATTGAATTGTTAAATAAACATATACAGATATTAAATATTGTAAACCAATCTAAAGTTAGTGAAGGTCAGACATCAAAGGAAATAAAAACTACAGCTGTTACTGAAAAAATATCACAAAAAAACAAAAAGGAAAACGATAGCCAGCTCAATAAAACTAATGCCATTCCTTCTTTAAAAAAAGGTAAACAAATGAATTCATTGTTTACAAAACAAGACGTTGCTACGGGAGTAATGCATGTGGAAACTGAGAATAAATTAAATAAATATATTAATTTAGTAAATGAAAATGACAATGACAACACGGCAAGAAATACTGAGACTAATGGTAATAAAAGGGACTGGACAAAAGTGGAAAACTCAAGAAGACGGCGAAAAACAATGGTAGGAAGTAATAAAGAGACTACAACAGTCAAAGGAGTTCCGAAGTTGGTTTCTCTGCATGTATATAGACTAGATAAGAATACCACTGAATCGGACCTTACTGATGTTCTAAAAGCAAATTTTGAAGATGTGAAGTGCGAAAAGATGGTGTCTAAATACCCAGATATGTATTCGTCATTTAAAGTCACTATTAAGGAGGACGAACTCAAGAAATCTATGAACCATAATCTTTGGCCGTATGGAGCCTGCGTGAATCGTTTTTTAGGGCTGAGGAGAAATTTAACGACAGTGAAATAATGTTGGACATTTTTCTAATGTTATTAAACATCCAGTGCTTGACTTACACTAAAGTAAATAGTTTGACCATCGAACTGACAAATACAAAACCCAATTTCATTTGTTTGACAGAAACATGGGCTGATAAGAACTCTATTAAATCCTTTCATATACCGGGTTATAGTAAAGGGAGTTGGTGGTGTCGTGATGTGCACAAGGGAGGCGGTGTTGCAATACTCGTAAGAGATAAGATAGTCGTGAAGAAAATAGAGTTGGATAGATATTGCATGGAAAAAAACTTTGAAATATGTGGTGTGTCCTGGAAAATGACAGATGGGAGTAAAATGGTAATTCTAACGGTTTATCGGTCACCTTCGGGAGATTTTAACTTGTTCTGTGAGCATCTTATTGATGCATTAACTTACATTTTTAAGCCGAATATTAAGGTTCTACTATGCGGAGACTTCAATGTTGATGCATATAAACCATGTACGGATTTTAAAAAATTATGTAATATTTTAATTACGTTTAACATGAATTGTATGATTAAATGGCCAACACGGGTAACATTATCCACTATTGGCACAATTGACCAAATTTTTACAAATTTTGCAGATGACGCCACATCATATGTGGTGGATAATAATTTATCTGACCATAGATCCGTATATATCGATCTGGGCCTAAGAAATAGAGTTAAGACTGAGAATGACTGTTGCACAAAAAGGTTTTTTAATGAAAATGCGGTATACCAATTTAGAAATAGTTTAGGAAATGAAGAGTGGCCTGCTCTATATTCCACGGGGAATGTGGATGAGGCTTTTCAAAATTTTATATCTGTCTTTTTATTTCATTTTAACTTATATTTCCCTAAAAGGAAATATTATGTCAATAATAGGACTGATAACAAGTGGGTTACTAATGAGGTTAGAGAGTCGAGCCGAAAACTGAAAGATCTATTTATACTTAGCAACACTTATTCGCAGTTAAAGCATGTGTATCAAAATGAGAAGTTGAAGCATAATTATTTAGTTAATTTGTCTAGGAGACAATATTATCAGAATAAAATTAGTTCTTCTGAGAATCCTGTTAAGTCCGCATGGAAGACTGTGGCACAACTTAATAGCAAAACAAAAAGTAAAAAAGTTATGTCGATAAAAATTAATGATAAAATAATTAATAATGAGAAAGAAATTGCTGATGCCTTTAACAGTTATTTTAAAAATGTACCCATTAATATTGTAAATCAGATTCCTCAAATTAAATCAAATGATAGATATAGCAAGGAATCTATAAATAATACTATAAGCCTATTGCCTTACAATGTCGTTGAACTTTATAATCTCCTCATAAAAAAACTTAAAAACAAATATTCTTCTGGCTATGATGATATTCCAGATTTCATCATAAAAAAGGTACTAGATATAATTAGTAAACCTCTAGTTTACCTCATAAATTTATCCTTTTCAACTGGCAAATATCCAGAGTTATTAAAATTGGGTAAAATTATACCAATTCAAAAAAAGAATAATTCGAATCTTATAGAAAACTATAGACCTATAAATATACCTAGTGGTTTCTCTAAAATATTTGAGAGCTGTTTTTTGAATAGACTTTTACCATTCTTAAAGTGTCATAATATTATTTCACCCAATCAACACGGATTTTCATCAGGAAAGTCAACAGCAACTGCACATCACTCTTACTATGAGGAGATAATAAAATACGTTGAAGCAGGGGAGTGCCCTGTTGGGATCTTTTGTGATCTCAGCAGGGCATTCGACTGTGTAGATCAAAACATACTTCTAGACAAACTGGATTTGTATGGAATCCGGGGTAATGCATATAAATGGATAGAAAGTTTTCTCTTTCAGAGAAGACAGTTTGTTGCTATTTCTAATGATAACAAATCGGCTATTAACTCACAATCAGCAGTTATTAATATAGGTGTGCCACAGGGTTCCATACTGGGCCCAGTGCTATTTCTTTTATATATAAATGACATTGGCGATTTGTCATCTTCAGTTAAATTTACTATATATGCTGACGATATTTCCATAGTGGTATCTGACAAATTAAATAATATATTAAAAAATAAATGTAACAATGTTCTGCATGACCTTAATGAGTGGTTTTGTGAAAACAGGCTTTTTTTAAATTCTGAAAAAACATTACCATTAAGGTTTCATAATTGGCAAAAGACTTGTGAAGAACTTGATCTGCAAATAAACGGCAATCGTATGACAATAGGTACAGAAAGTGTTAAATTTTTGGGGCTTTATATTGACGAATGTTTAACGTGGAAGTCTCATTGTGAGCATATAATTACGAAATTAAATTCTGTACTTTATCAGTTTAGAAATCTTAGAACAGTTTTAAACATTAATCAACTAATAAATCTATATTACGCTGAAGTTGAATGCCGATTGCGATATGGAATATGTTTTTGGGGGCAGTCTTCAATGTCAGGTAATGTTTTTGTCGCACAAAAAAAAATATTGAGAGTAATGTTTCATATGCCATCTTTTGTTAGCTGTAGGGATTTATTTATAAAACATCAAATTTTAACAATGCCATCTCTCTTAATATATGAGCTTTGTTTGTATATACATAATAATCAGGACAAATTTATAAAACATGATAATATCCACTCTATAAATACAAGACAAAAAAATAATTTTTATGTGCCCTTTTGTAGGTTAAATGTTGCCAGCAGATCACCCAATTACTTGGGTCTAAAAATTTTCAATAAGTTACCTTCTGAACTAAAAAGTTGTTCATCGACTGGACTGTTTAAAAAGCGCTTAAAGCAGCATTTAGTATACAAAGGATTTTATAATATTAACGAATACTTTGATGTATAATATATGTGTATTTGTTGTTTGTTAAAGTGTTATTTTATGTGTTTAGTATTTACGAATTTTATGTAGCTTTTACACTGCTATTGACAATTCCAATACAATTTGTAAATTGTCTAATGGAAATAAAGAAATTGAAATAACAAGAAAAACAGAGTCAATTCATTTATTTAATTCTTTAATGACTTCAGATCAAAACTTATTTTTTTAAATTCAAATCATATTGGCCATGGCATTATAGGCATCATAAAAAAAAGCATTTTGTCTGCTCCCACTATAGTAAATATGCTATTAATATATTGTTTTTAAGGAGTAAGTGGAAGTTGCTAGGGACAACGGGGTAAGTGAGGCCCTAGGGAAAAAAGCAATTTCTATTTGTAAATGCATATTTTATGAACAAATAAATAGAAATATTGATGAACTTTACATTTTATTAATTATTATGAATGGATATTTATAGTAATTATACAGTTATTACATTTTGTAATATTTATAAAATCTGGATAATTATTCTCCTCGCGTTTACTGTCACATTTTTTTCAAAATGATTTGACCGCTCCATTTCAGTCACCGGAGGCTCAATATTATCTGACTGATCCATTAAAACAGCAGTGATGCGACATACTACTAAAAACCTGGAGTTGAAGTGTCATTGTAAAGAATCCTGTTGGCTATTTCATTTTTGTTACTTAAACTATCAGCAACATAACTTTCTGCAATTGTAGCTGATTTCCACCACCATGTCTGTTGATTGCTAATAGATCAACTCTTGTATTAGCCAGTAATGTTTCCGATGTTCTTCGGAATGAATGGCCTGTATATGTTTCCGGATGTTTGCATAACTCATCAGAACGGCATGCTCCTGCAATGCCTAAGACTGTCACTACCTTCATTATCAAATATGTGTTATCAGGT